TTGGGAGCCTCTACTAATGATTGGAGGGAATGAGATAGCTACCACTGGATATCCCTCCCTCCAGGGGTGGGCTGCTGGGGGTTCGAAGCGGTTCGGGAGAACCTCTAGCTAAGATTCTGTGCAGTTTGGAGAACCGCCCACTTCTGGCTGGCCCCACCCATCCACCTTGCCCCTCCCAGGAGTCCCCACATGGCCTGTTTTGGATGCAGGTAATTGCAGGGGGCGCATGGAGGCTCGGGGAGGGCGAAAAACAGGCCTACCGGAAGTTCAGGAAGCGCCTCTGGAGCCTGGGGAGGTTGTTTTTACCCTAGTTTTAACCAGGAAGTAACCCATTTTTGACCCTTTGCGCATGTGCAGAGGATCAAAATCGAACATGATGATGGCACACGCACTTCCGAATTGATAGGGAAGGTAAGTAGATTTCACCCCTGCTGTGGGCCTCGACACATTAAGATGGGTCCACCATTTTGGTTAATATTTACTCTCTCCTGTGGCGGGGGTAGTTTGTATTTTTAATGGTTCTTTTTAATAATTTTGTATCTACATTTATGGCTTTGTTTTAAGGGTGGCACGCCGCCCAAAGTCACTTCGTATGAAATGGATAGCCATTTAATTTGCTCACTAACTAACTAAATAAATGTGAACTGCTCAGGCAGAGTCCAGTCTAAATGAATGCAATAAAGCATTCGTTTGAAAAACAAATGTTTCTAAAAGGTCAAAGAGGAAAAGAAAAAAGAAAAGGGAAGGGAAGGGAAGGGAAGGGAAGGGAAGGAAAGGAAAGGAAAGGAAAGGAAAGGAAAGGAAAGGAGGAAAAGGAAAAGGAAGGGAAGAAAAGGAAAAAGGAAAGTAGGAAAAGAAAAAGGGAAGGGAAGGGAAGGGAAGGGAAGGAAAGGAAAGGAAAGGAAAGGAAAGGAAAGGAAAGGAAAGGAAAGAAAAAGAAAAAGAAAAAGGAAAGTAGGAAAAGAAAAAGGAAAAGGAAGGGAAGGGAAGGAAAAAGGAAAGTAGGAAAAGAAGAAGGGAAGGGAAGGGAAGGGAAGGAAAGGAAAGTAGGAAAAGGAAAAGGAAAAGGAAGGGAAGGGAAGGAAAGGAAAAAGGAAAGTAGGAAAAGGAAAAGTAGGAAAAGGAAGGGGAGGAAAAAGGAAAGTAGGAAAAGGAAAAAGAAGGGAAGGGAAGGAAAGGAAAGGAAAGGAAAGGAAAGCCACTGGCACTGGCACTGGCACTGGCACTGGCACTGGCACTGCACTTCTAAGCAGACATGTTAGACCTGGATAACCCTCACCCACATATGCCGAACTATTTGTGTATAACAAAAAGACTGTTCCAAATACGGCAGTGTTTATCCAAGGACAAAGTGGATTAAACTAGGCCCATGACGGGAGAAGAGGATAATCCCAATTCCATCAATTTTGCTCATAAAGACTGAAAACTCGAGGAACAATTATAGAACGGCCTACTGCTTAGTGCCGTGGAACATATTTCGTGCTGCCTGGGATTCCAAATTAAATCCGGGTCTTAAGAAAAGTCTCAGCTCGGAGAAGAGACTGTAAAACGTTGCATTTACGGAGGACCCCCAAAAAATATCCAAGTTGAAATGGATCGAAGGAACGATTCAGTTCAGGCTGAACTTTAAAGTTCTCCAAAAAAGTTTGCCTTTGCTTAGTGCACTACCGGGGCAGTGGGTGGGTGGGAGTAAAGCCACTTATTTCTGCAAACACCACTCCACTAATTTGTAATGGGCCCCAAAGAATTGTGGTAGTATCCATGCAATTCTTATGCAACTAATCTGGAGTAATTGTAATGGCATCTACTGACTGAAATGACGTCTACTTAATCCAGTTTCTGACTTCCCACAAATGCACAACCAGATTGTTCTGACCCAGCTCCTCAAACACGGTAAACCCGCTGTAGTTGAAGCTATGTTTCCTTTATTAGGAGCGCCAGCAGCCCCGGCAAAAAGTTTCTCTCTCACCGCAGGTTAACAAGTCTGTCCGGCAGGGGAGATGAATAGTTGTCTGCCACACCTATTCATCTCCGCTCCCCGCCTTTTATCTCGAGAGCTAGGGTGGGGCTTCACTAGCAGCGGTGGCTCTTCCTTCTCAAGGACCGGCCCATAGATTTCCACTGCTCTCCTCTCCACTGCCTTCTGCACATCTGCGCTTCAGACACTGGACCCAGCTGTTCCTCCTCTTCCTCATCAGCCACCTTCAGACCTGGGGACTGTTTACTCTCCATCTGAGGGCTGATGGACGGCCCAGGCTCCGCCTCTGTCTCTATTTCTGACCGCTCCATTCCCTCTTCCCCCTCGGAGCTCTCAGGTTGCCTTGTTGCTAACCCTGACTCCCACGCCTCTTCCTCATCTGATTTGTCTGCTGGAGGGGCTGGCTGCCAACAGGCCACAACACAGATGCTTCTAAACCAAAATGAGGACTTCTTGGACAACACGTTTCTCCTTTTGTCTTCTCCACAACTACCAATATATTTCCATACTTTCCATCATTTCTCTCCTCCCTTGGTCTTCCAAAGCAGTTTTAAATCAGCCCGTAACCATCTTCACATTCCCTCTTCTCAACTCTGAGAAGCAACTGAACTTCTAAGAAAGGAAGAAGCTAGGACAGAGGACAGACCTTCCATGGGTCTCGTAGGACCCAAGTGCAAAACGTTGCTGCAATGCCAAATAGTCTGCATTAGCTAGTAATTAACTCAGTTCCCAGATGATGTCATGTGATCTGATAGACTTTTGAACGGGTGGACAGATTTCAAGTGGGAGTGGCCAAAGATAGCTTGCATTTGAACTATCCCTTCATCTCCTACAGCAGTGTTTCCCAACTATGGCCTTTATAAGGTGTGTGGACTTCAACTCCCAGAATTCCTCAGCCATCTTGAGTGATTCAGATTACGCTAGCTGGGGAATTCTGGAAGTTGAAGTTCACGCATCTTAAACTCGCCACATTGTCCTACGGTGTTGCCCTTTGACAGCGGTGACCTGTCATACCAACAGAGTCTGCTATAAGTTCCTGAGTCAACAAGTTTGCACAGTTCCATGTACAATAAAAGAAAATCAGTTGATTTCAGAGCTCCAAATAAACTTCTATTGTTCAGAAGGAGACCCCATTTTTAACCTCATTCCAGGTTGCCTTTTTTTGACCTGCTAAATTATCCCTCTAGAGTCTGAGCTCTGTCCCCTCATGAAAAAAAGGACTGATAATTAATTATACAGTGCTTCTTTCAACATGCTAGACTTTGGTTCTTTGCTGGACCTTCCCTGTTACTATTGTATTTCTGGCTCCCTGACCTTTGCTGGGATAATTGCCAAAATCACAAACACATACAGAGCAAAAGAGAGAGAGAGAGAGAGAGAGAGGGAGGGAGGGAAAGGGAGGGAGAGAGAAAGAGAGACAATGTGTGTGTGAGAGAGAAGGAGACAGAGAAAGACAGAGACAGAGACAGAGAGAAAAAGAGAGATGGAAAGTGTATGTATATGTGTGAGCAAGAAAGAGACAAGAGAGGCAGAGAGAGAGAGAGAGAGAGAAAGGCAGAGAAAGGGAGAAAGAGAGAGGGAGAGAGAGAAAGAGAGAAATGTGTGGGTGTGAGAGAAAGAGATGAGAGAGAGAGTAAAAGAGAGATGGAAAAAGTGTGTGTATGAGAGAGAAAGAGGAGAGCGAGAGGGAGAGGAAAGAGAAATGTGTGGGTGGGTGTGAGAGAGAGAGATGGAAAGAGTGTATGTATGAGAGAGAGAGAAAGAGAAAGAGAGAAATGTGTGGGTTTGAGAGAAAGAGACAAGAGAGAGAGTGAGAGAGAGATGGAAAGAGTGTGTGTATGAGAGAGAAAGAGGAGAGAGAGTGGGGAGAAGGAAAGAGAAATGTGTGGGGGTGCATGAGAGAGAAAGACAAGAGAGAAAGAGATGAGAGAAGAGGGAGAGGGAGAGGTGGGGAGAGAGAGAGAGAGAGAGAGAAAGAGAGAGGCACAGAATTCAATACATTGCAATTCTCTTGAAAGAGGATGTATGGAGGAATGAGCGTGCTCTGAATGTCAGGGATGATACAAATCAAAGCCAAAAGGGTCACGACAAGAAAAGCATTTGACAAAATTAAAGCAAGCAAACAAAAACCCACAGAGAAGGACCAAAAAGGTTAGCACGGGTAGCAACGAACAGCAAAGCACAGGGATGTCTTATATTTTAAATGCTGTTACAACATGTGAGCTCTATCAAGCATTAGCCACCGTCTTGCAAAGCAGAAATCGAAGTGTTACATGCACCAAGCGGATGGCCGTAAAATGAGCTATGCAGCAAAAACACGGTAGCTCTCCAAGCATCGCCAAGAGGATGTAGAAAAAGAAAACCCGATGCATTTTACAGTCTCGACATGGTGGATATAAGTTCTGGCCGCGATGCGCGAGAAAAAAAAATTGGCATCGATTAGCCATATCCTCGGTGAAAGCCGCTTGACAGAGGATGTTTATGTCATTGAAGGATATACAGGTAGTCCTCGATTTACAACCACAATGAAGCCCCAAATCTCTGCTGCTAAGCGAGACAGTCGTTCAGGGAGTTTTTTGCTCCACATTGCGCCCCTTTCTTGCCACAGTTGCTAAGTGACCCGATTGTTAAGCGAATTTGGTTTCTCTGTTGACTCTGCTCGTCAGAAGGTCGCAAAAAAGGGATCACGTGACACCCCTATTGACTGTCATCAGTAGGAGTCTGTTGCCGAGCGGGATGAATATTGATCACATGACCGTGGGGATGTGGCCAATGGACGTCAGTGTGAAAATCGGTCATAAGTCAATGTGCAAAGGGAAGGTGCAGGAATTCTAACTTCAAACGGCCAGTCAACGGGCCGCTGTAAGTCGAGGACTACATGCATTCGGAAGAAAACTTTGGAGAGCGATCGGATGACGTCTCGGAGAAACGTATATGCACCATGGTTCTCTCCCAACCAACCATAAAATGCAAAAAAGGGTGATGGGTGTAGAAGAAGAATACGAAAGAAACCGAAACCAACCTTGGAGAAATATCACATCCTTGCTGCATAAAGGCACCCAGGGAAAACCACAGGCTGTTAAATATTCCAAATTCATTGGGTGGATCTGGTGGGCTTTGAGGATCCCGAGGTTCTTCCTGGTTGTCTTCCAAATGCCACTCGTAAGGACTGAATCGGCTGACTAAAAAGAGAACTACGCTGACGCCAATGTATGCAAAGACTATACACATCCAAATTTCATAGGCCAAAGGATCCAGAAAGGAGAAGACCCCCGGTTTAGATTTCTGGGGCTTCTTGATCATGATAGAAATGCCCAAGCTCATAAAAGGTTTGGAAAAATCTATGACTTCTTCTCGGACCAGGGTTATGGTCAGTGGGGCAACGGCTATATCTGCTCTCTGGAAAGACAGAACACAGACATAAAAAAAAAAGAAGAAGAAGAGAAAATTACAGCAATATATCTTTCTTTCAACACAACAACAGTCCTCACCTCTCTGATCATGGGATTCCTCATCAGCTCTTAGCATATTCTACCTCATGGGGGAAGCTGCTCTGGCTTGGTTGACCATCTGCGGTTCTTTATGCTTCCTGCTTTTGGAGGAGACCCAAGTACTCTATGGGTCTCTGGCAGATTTGCAGGCAGTATGTTCTACTCCAGTGATAGACTGGCCAGACCAAAGATCTAAGTGTTGTGGCCCACCAGCAGCCAGCAGAGCTGGCAGCAGATTCGGATAGTGGGGAGGTTGGGGAGGAACATGGGCCAGTCCTGGAGTCTGGGGAAGGCTCTGAGGAGGGCTCTGCGTTGGAGGCAGAGAGGGGTCCAGGACCGTATGACAGGTATCAGCTGCCTTCGGAGTCAGACATCAGTGAGGCAGACAAACAGCTGGAGCCCGTTCCCAGTGTGCGCATGCGCAGAGTTGCCAGATGAAAGGAACAGCTAAAGAACAAAGGTTGACTTGGGAGTAAGGCCACAGGTGGATAATGAAGGGCCCCTCCCAGAGGGAATAAAAGAGGAGCGAAAGGGGAGTGGCATTTGCAGGAGACAATTAGTTCATTCCTGCATTCTTGCCAAGTATTGTGGCATCTGAAAGATATCGGCCTGGCCACTCTCCAAGCCTGATAAAGGTCGGTAATTGTGAACTATCTTGAAAGGCTATGGGAGAGGAAAGACTTCGCTGGAGAAGAGAATTCACTGTAAATTAAATAAAAGGGGTTTATCGGGACGAGGACTCGGCTTCGTGCTGCTGAGGAAGCCTAGGTTAGAACGCTAAAAAGCAGGAGAAGAAGAGGTGGCCATGTTCCTGCCCCTTGTTGTATGCTTCCCAAACATGGCAGGGTTGGTCATTTTTTTTTAGAGACCAACAATTCCAGAGGGCTGGAGGAGTCCTTAGCTTCATCCAATAACGCTCTTCTTGTGGTCTCATCTTGAGCCCACTGCAGAAAAATGAAGATGGGGAGGGAGGACTCAACCTTAAAATCACCTAGGGCTGAAGATAAGCAGTTTTAGGAAGTGGAAGTGGCAATGGAGGCTGCATAACCTCGGAGTTACAGTTGTGTAACTGAGAAAGCCAGCTCCACCAATTCCCTTTATCATACTGCAACAATAAATTGATGTTATTTATTTATGACATTTATATAGCCACCCATCTCATGCTTGTGACTCTCTGGGTGATGCACGCAGAGGTGGGATTCACATACTGTAGCAACCGGTTCGCCCAGCACCGTAAATGTGCATGTGTGTGGCATCACAAAACATAGCAATTCGCTCGTGCGCTCCGTTCGCACATGCGCATGGCATCAAAAACACAGTGATATAGGACAGGATTGCACCCAGGTAGGTGGGCAGGCCCGGGCCCACCCGCAATTCACCACTACCGGTTCGTCTGAACCGGCTGAATACCACCTCTGGATGCACACAAATAAAAAACACAGAGCCAAGCAACCAACATAATTTAAACACATCCGTACATATCCAAAATAGTTCCCAGAGAAAATCTAGGGAAATTCTAATTCTGGCTGTGATTGAAGTACAGAGTAAAAAACTTCTTTCTCTCAGGATCTGAGTATCAATGATATGGATTCAATTCATGTCTTCTGGCTATGTGGCTTGGCAGTAGCTTGTTTTACAGCGCTGTCAAATCTAGGACAGATGAGAGGAAAAAATGGATTGTGTACCTATTCTACTTGGTTGTTCTTGGGTGGACATGTTATACCAGAAACTGGGGTAGAATGTAGTCTGGATCCCAAGAGGCAGGGGCTGCATTCCAGAGGAACCAAGAGACGATGAAGTTTAAATAATTTGGTTGGAGGAAGAGAGTTAAGGCAGCTCCTCCCTAGAAAATTTTCACCTCAGATCTTTAATGATACAAGTAGTTTGCTTTAGTCTGGCAAGATTCTGTCTACAGGTGAGCAACAATAAAGGAACTTGTTTAGAAGAATCTCGGTATGTCTTTCTTGATTTTTTTGAGCCCGACAGAAGCCGAGTTTCTTCAGATCTGTCACCCCATGTTTGCTAGCAGAACTGGTGTCAATCATTTTGCTACACAAGGCATGTCAGAGGGAAGGTTTTGGAAGAAACAGCCTGATCCTTGCTTTTAACTTTAGTAGTACATTTCTAAGTTCTGGAGATGAACCCCAAGTGCATTGCCAATGAACCGTATATTAGTCTGATCAAAATGTTTAATCTTCAAAACGTATTGTATTGAGCTTATTATAAAGGCATTGCCTTCCTTCTTTCCAGGGAATTTCCATATGGCATTCTTTCATCTTCTGCTGGGGTGGGGCGACGGGGAACTCTTGGGCAAAGATTGTGTGTGTTTTGGAATTTAATGCTGAGTAAAACTCCTGATGTATCCAGCTTCCATTTTATCTCAGAAAACATTTCTAATCCCAATGGCCGAGAAGATAAGAGATGAACATATCTGAGAAAAATAATAATAAGAAGGGTGTTTTGATGGTGGGTCAAGAAATATTATTTTGTGGATCCACCCTTGCTGCTTCCTTTTTCCCCTTTCGAGAACCAGGAAGAAGAGTTGAGTGGATTAGTTGACTGTCTTGAATTAAAAGCCTCAAGAACCTCGTTTGATTGCTTTATAAACCGGTCTGTACTAAACATAAGAACGTATCTATCAGGAGGCTCTGGACCAATAGCCTTTATTGATGCCTCAGCTCCCAAAAATTTTGCAGAAACTTTGCAAACCCTTTTGCAAGTTTCTACCCTAGGTAATTAGCTCAACTTTCTACAATAGCATCTAAGCAGATGTAAAAAAATATTGGATGATGAGGTTGAAACTATCTGGTTTTTTTTTCCTCAATTGGACTTCACTAGTTCCTGTTCCAGGCAGTGGTGGGATTCAGCCAGTTCTGTCCGGATCTCGCAAACTGGTAGTGGCAACTATGGGAGGCTCTGCCTATCCGCCTGGATGTAATGTGCGATCACTGCACGTGCGTAGAAGGCCATGTGCATACACAGAGGTGGTGCTTGCTCTCACATTTGCGAAATGGTAAGGAAGGCAAGTGAATCCCACCTCTGGTTCTGGACATCTTACCTGCCCCATGTGGACTTTGCAAACTGTGGGCTTTCCTATTTTATGCCTTTTGTTTTTAAGCAAATGGCCATGTACAAGTAAACATCATTCATTTATGTTTTCCTTTCCTTGGACATTCCCAGTTCAAGAAACGTACGAAAAATCGTTAGCTTAGTTAAAAGCATCAGGTTTTCTGCTCGGTTCAGCAAAACTTGGCAAGGCTACTTATAAGCGTTTGGCAATTTTCTGGTCCCCATAGAGAGAGATAGAGAGAGAGATAGAGGAGTGCACTCATGCTTGGTCTCTAAGTAAGGCATTCCAGAATCAGCCTTCTGAGCTGGACTGATCTCAAAAGATGTCATGAGAGTTTGGGCCGGAGCCAAATCACTCTATGAAACTTTGGCATTTGTACAAAAGTTTAGTTAGCGATAAACTCTTCCTTCTCCATTCACAGGATACATCTGCTGCAGATCAAAATATCTCAGACGATATCACGAGTTGGATCGTAAGAGCAGCATGTGCTTAGCTATCTTCTAAGGAATATTAAAATGGGACCAGTACCAACAGGCAATTGAAGTTTTCAAAACTTGAAGGTGAGATTTAAATCTGGCTGCATTTAATTTTTTGAATGACATGCTCTAAAACTTAGTGGATGAGAAGATACGGTTCAAGAATCAGGGTGTTGCTTTTTTTCTATCCCTATGATGGGGAAAAAGGGGTTATCTATCATATACAGCAGTGGTGAAATCCTCTGCGGATCGCCACCGGTTCTCTGCCAGCACATGTGTGCTGCGTGCCAAAAGCACACTGCGCATGCACATGTGCAACATGCGCCAAAATCACGCTGAGCACACATGCGCAGTACACACCAAACGTGTGCTTCACTTGGAAAAAGAAGACTTCCCTTGGTAAGTAGAACAGCGAGGGGGGGGAACAGCTGTGCTGTGCGAATAATATAATATAATATAATATAATATAATATAATATAATATAAAATATAATATAATATAATATAATATAATATAATATAATATAATATAAACCACGCAGCACAGCTGATTGTCGGAAATACCGGTTTGCCAGAACTGGCAGATTTTTAACTACCGGTTTGCCCGAACTGGAGCAAACCGGTAGCACTTCACCCCTGTTATACAGATAACTAAGCTCCCTCCCCACCCTATTTTATTTATTTACTTATTTGATGGTTTTGAGTCAGTCATGATTATGGGGGACTGCTTGGCTAAGTCTTTGCAGTTTTCTAGGCAAGAAATTCAGAAGTGGTCTGCCCTTGTCTAAGTCCTAGGGCTGAAAGAGAGGGACTGGTCCAAGAAGAAACCCAGCTAACTTTCATGACTAAGGTGAGACTAGAACTCACCATCTCCTGGTGATTGGCCTAAAGTCACCGAACTAATTTTCATGCCCACAGTGAGACTAGAACTCACAAGTTCCTGATGATTGGCCCAAAGTCCCCAAAACTGGTTTTCATGCCTAAGGCGGGACTAGAACTCACTGCCTCCTGGTTTCTAGCCTAGTGCCTCAACCACTAAACCAGATTGGCTCTGTGGCTCTGTAGCTACGGTGACATGTATTTGGTTGCAACACGGCTTTGCTAAAGGGTACATCAATGGAACTTAAATCAGACCTTCCTGTTGGATAAAGGCAATGTTAACACCAACAACAACCAATTAAGCAGAAGCTTCTCTGCTGAATTTAGCTTGTTAGAGTACCGGGTTGTGAAGTTTAGTTTAGCTTTCCTCTATGCCGTGAATATTTTTGGCAAGCTACAGCATATCAAAGTAATGCAAATTACACACAGAAGGGGGGAAAGGGGATAATTCTTTTTTTTTTGCTTCAGCTAAAGAAAAAAAGCTCTCTGTTTTATTATTAGAGGAACTGCATTTGTATGACCTAACTTAGCACTAGAAATAATTAAATATCCTATAAATATCACTCTACTTTGGGCAGGCCTAACACTAATCATCATAATAATAATTTATTGCATTTATATGGTGCCTGGCTTCCAGTGATTCTGGGTGGTTAGAAATGAATGAACAGAGAAGATGTTCTATTAAATACTTTCACTGAGCGACAATCTCTTCTTGTTGATCGTACATCTGAATCAAGATACAGAGGATCAGCTGTGCTTTGCCATGCAAAGTCTACTCGATAAAATGGGACTTCTTTCTTAGTCAACACAGATACAAGATCTGTTAGGATATTAAATTTAGTAGCTGGAACAGTAAAGTGTACAATGGGCCAGAAGACGCAATTGTAGTTGATTGATTGGAGAGCGCTGGCTCCTGCGTGAGGCAATCTACGCTATGATTGGTTACTATGGGTGTAAAGGGGGAGTTTCCCTTTTTCCCCGCCTTTTTCCTTCTGGGTGCTCTGCATGCTGCTTCTGATTTACCTCATGACTGTTCCTGACTATCTCATCTACTGAGAATAGGAATGTTAAATATATTGATTTAATATAAAACCACAAGTTTTGTGTCAGTCTCTCTGACGTCATTTGGACAGCGCTGTGCAGTTGCCTGACACAGATCCAACAAAACCACTTTCCAGGAATGCCCGAAAAATATGGAGGTGGCCTGAAAAAATATGGCGTCACCTGAATAGAACCCAGACAGGCCATGGCAAGAGTTTAAGGCAAAGCTCTTTAAGTGGGGAAAGGCCAAGAGCCTGCAATGTGACTGTGGTGCAACGGAAATTTTAGGATATTGAATTTGGTAGCTGGAGCAGTAAAGAACACATAGTTGTATTCGGTTAGTTAGTTGCATGAGGCAAGCTACGCTATGATTGGCTGTTGTGGGTGTAAAGGGGCAGTTTCCCTTTTCCCCTGCCTTTTTCTTCTGTGGTGCTCTGTATGCTGTTTGATTTACCTCACGACATTCCTGTGCTCTTGACTAACTGGTCTGCTGTAAATATGAATGTTAAATATACTGATTTATATAAAACGCCAAGTTTTGCGTCAGTGTCTCCAGCTTCATTTGGACAGCTGCCACACAATTTCTCGACAAGATCTGATTGCATGCCTGTTCTAAAGCACTCTGCGGATTTTTTCAAAGGCTGTGATGATTGAACGACAGTCTATGAAGACACGGCTTCCTGATGTCTACACCAAAACAATCTGAATGGTGACATTCGGTACAGAGAGGAATTGCTTTTTCACACTGAGCGGGAACATTTACATCACAAAGACACCAGGTGTCTTACAAATCCTTGCTGGGAGAGATCAAGCTCATATCACTCATTCACAATTTACTATGTCACATTCTTTGAGGTTAAAAATCGGGCCAAATATTACTCGGCACATTAACCCAAAGCCTAAGATACAGCATTGACTTCTCCTCCAATTATTCTAATTCCTCAAGAGCTCAGGCAAGGCAACACGCCCACTTTTGCTTAACCTAACATCAACATCCTTGTAATGTTAAAGCATCACTCGTGTTCTGTACCCTGCCTTTAGAACAAGCATCTGTTTCTTTCATGTGAGAACCGTTTTAACAATGCTAAGAATATATTTTTTTTATGACAGAGTTTTCTGCTTGATGCAAATACCCTATATTTTGGCGCTGAAAATGCCAGGAGGGGAACCTCAAGCTATGCTATCAAATGCATTTCTGTGGGAAGGATTGAGCCTTCTTTTAGAAATCAAAACCAACCCAAAGATGAATAGGAATGCCACAAAGCTGTGGAAAGTCTGAACAAAGATTCTAAAGAGACGTTATTCTTCTGTCACTCACACTTAAACAATGCCAAGAGCTCTTTAAGGGGAAGAGAAAACAAGGCACAATTAATAGAGAAGAATATAGGAAGGTGGGAGTAAGCTACGGCCTTCTCAAAATTCTACATTTCATGTTTCAGCTGCCCACCGATGGCCAACTCCATTCCTTCACCGCCGATGAAACAGTGAGATGTCAGATCACAAAATCTCCTATTCTCACCATTAATTCTCAGAATGATAAAGGGAGCTGCTACAAAGAGAATTTTCACTCTCAGAGTTCCTTGAGGGCAGCCGTGAAGAGGAAATTCTTGCTAGAATTCCCATCATTTCCTGGGGCAATGACTTCTGATAGGAATTTGAACTCTTCAGGGACACGATTAAATGGTTTTCAGCAAACCTGCTTGTTTGAGTTGGTTGACACCATTAACTGGTGAACAGTTGAACATCACAGAGCTAAGGACACCCGTAAGGATGGGTACCATCTCCCTATTTGGACAGCCAACATAGTTTATCTACTTGGATTTTGTTGGATATTCTTGCAGGATATTGTACATCTAAGCAGCTTTGCCAAGGAAGACAGATGGAGAGGAGATCAGCTTAACTTTGGTAAGATGGTCATAAGGCAGGGGTGAAATGCTCCTGGTTCAGTCTGGTTCACCCGAACCGGTAGTAAAAAAGGCTATTGGTTCGCTGAACCAGTAGTAAAAACTATATATATATAAAAAGTTATGACGATCAGGTGAGCATTTAGCATTTTTGTTACTACTGGTTCTCCAGAACCGGTAGTTAAAAATACTTTAAAAAGTAAAAAAAAAAAAAAGTTCCGAAGCTTGTGTGTCGGTCACCTGATCGTCGGAATTTTTTTTTTTTTACTTTTTAGGCATCTTTTTACTTTTTTTTACTACTGGTTCTCCAGAACTGATAGTAAGAATGCTTTAAAAAAGTAAAAGAAAATGCTCCGACGATCACAGCTGTGCCACATGATCGTCAGAGCCTTTTTTTTTTTAACTTTTAAAAGCATTTTTTTACATACAGCCTATTCGGCTGAATAGGTTTTTAAAAAATGCTTTTAAAAGTAAAAAAAAAGGTTCCAAAGATTGCTTCCCACAGCTGATCACACAAACACACCCGTGCACTGTTCTACTTACCCCATGCCTCCTCCTGGCATGCACTGCGTGCACACGTGTGTGCGTGTGTGCCCCTCACATTTGGTGCATGGTGCGCACTGCCCATGCGGGTGCGCACCTTGTGTTTAGGGCGCAGCGCGCATGCGCAGCCAGCAAACCAGTACTAAACCGGTTCAGATTTCACCACTGTCATAAGACAAATGAGTAGCAGAACCACAACATATAAGGACTTACCCCATACACCAGCTCACCCACCATGCCATTCCACATTTTAGTCTCGGGGTCCTTTGCTCCATACTTCCCATCAGGAACAATGGACAGGACATATTTAATCCCAACATGTTTCGCAATTTCGTAAGCGAGATCAACACAATAGCCTTCGTATTTTTCATTCCCTTCCTTCTGGTCAGGAGACTGCTTGCGCATCACGTAGGGGGCTTCCTGGAAAATGACACCAGGAGAAAATAAGTTAGAAGGAGGGGATGCCTTCAAATGCATAAACAGTAGAGTGAATGGGGAGAAATCCCAACCAAAGAAGCTGGAAGAACCTAGAACTAAGAAGAAATTTCCTGCCAGGGAGAACAATTAATCAGTGGAACAGCTTGCCTCTTGAAATTGTGCGTGTTCTATCGCTGGATGTTTTCATGAAGAGATAGGACAGCCATTTTGTTCAGAATGGCATAAGGTGCTCGAGCAGGGGTTTGAATTAAAAGACCTCCTCCAAGGGCCCTTGCAACCCTATGATTTTAATAGCAATAGCACTTAGATTTATATACCGCTTCATAGTACTTTACAGCCCTCTCTAAGCAGTTTACAGAATCAGCATCTTGCCCCCAACAATCTGGGTTCTCATTTTACCGACCTTGGAAGGATGGAAGGCTGGGTCAGACTTGAGACGGTCAGGATTGAACTCCTGGCAATGGGCAGAGTTAGTCTGCAATACTGCATTCTAACCACAGGGAGGGAAGGAAGGAAGGAAAGAAAGAAGGAAGAAAAGAAGGAAGGAAGGGAGGGAGGGAGGGGACATGGAGGGAGGGGAGGGAGGGAAGGAAAGAAGGAAGGGCAATAATAACAGCACTTAGACTTATATACCGCTTTACAGTGCTTTATAGGCCTCTCTAAGTGGTTTACAGAGTCAACCTATTGCCCCCAACAATCTGGGTCCTCATTTTACCCACCTCGGAAGGATGGAAGGCTTGAGTCAGCCTTGAGCCTGGTGAGATTCGAATTGCCAATTTGCAGGCAGCCGGCAGTCAGCAGAAGTAGCCTGCAGTACTGCATTCTAACCATTGCACCACCCCGGCTCATTTAAAGTTATAAGTTCAAACATAAACGAATTAAGGAAAACTTGATCTGCCTGTCAATTTGGAAAGTAGGCAGAACAATCAAAGTTTGGGAAAATCAAGTGCTGAGCAACCAATCCATATCATTGTTCAGAAAACTACGTAGGTCTGTGTGTCCAGGAAGGCATCAGGAGCTGAATTTGACCCAAAGGTATCAAGGTTAGAAAACAATGTCTAAAGGGAAGTGAAAACTTACAAGGATGGTAGTCACCACAATGGTTCTGTTCTCAACTGAGGATGTATCGTTGGAAACAGTAAGATCGATCGCAGGCACAAATCGCTCATATTCATTCCAGTAACCAGCCTATAGTTAAAGAGAGGAAATAGTGAATTTGTGTTATTTATAGGTAGATAGGTACATAGATAGATAGGTAGATTAGAAGAATGATAGATGATAGATAGATAGATAGATAGATAGATAGATAGATAGATAGATAGATAGATGAAATAAAAGGAAGGAAGGAAGGAAGGAAGGAAGGAAGGAAGAAAGAAAGAAAGAAAGAAAGAAAGAAAGAAAGAAAGAAAGAAAGAAAGAAAGAAAGAAAGAAAGAAAGAAAGAAAGAAAGAAAGAAATGTTGTCCTTGTTTGGTACTAGGTGATGTTTTAAGTTAGCCAAGGAACTAGCAGTTGTAGAATAGTTTGCGCCAACAGAAAAGGCCATTATAAGGAGGAGGAGGAGGAGAAGAAGAAGGAGGAAGAAAGAAAGAGAAAGAAAGAAAGAAAGAAAGAAAGAAGAAAGAAGAAAGAAAGAAAGGAAGAAGGAAGGAAGGCAGACAGAAAGAAAGACAGACAGACAAAGAAAGAAAGAAAGAAGGAAAGAAAGAAAGAAAGAAAGAAAAAAGAAAGAAAGAAAGAAAGAAAGAAAGAAAGAAAGAAAGAAAGAATGAATGAATTGTGGCTTACCTTCCGTGGCCCGCCAGGTCTCATTTCATACACATCAATCGTATAATTGGTTCTACGTCCGTAGGTGTCAAACTGGATATTTCCTGTCATTCCTTGAACCTGAACCTTGACAATGATAAAGTTGCAACATAACAAGATACAGAAAGCAGCAAAGAAATTGGCATCTGTGCATTGGTCAGTATGCAAGAACCACGGTTTCATAAAAAAAAATATTTTTTCCCAGTCAATTCCATCAAAATCAAATCCTTAAGCAAGTCACCAAGGGAATGCAAAGGACATTCTCTTTCAGTTAATTCTGCCAACTCTATTTGCTCCCCCTCCTCCTAAGGATGGGTGTTCTTCTCAGCTGCGGGGGGGGGCATTTATGAAAGCCCTTAATAAGGAAATATGCCAGCCATCTTCATCGATATCTTTCCAAAGCCAAAATAGAAGCTTCTCTTCTCTCTGGTGTTTCTACAGTGCCCGCTAAAGTGCATTTTGATTTTCAGTGCCTCCTCTGCAGTGCAGTTGATATTCTCCATTTTTTATTTTTTTTTTGTATTCCTCTGTTATATATTTATGGGCGCAACTCGTTGTGCCCACGTGACACCCCTCCTGCGCGAGCTGCACTGGCTCCCAGTGGTCTTCCGGGTGCGATTCAAGGTGTTGGTTACCACCTTTAAAGCGCTCCATGGCATAGGACCCAGGTACCTTCGAGACCGTCTTCTGCCACCAATAGCCTCCCACTGGCCAGTTCGCTCCCACAGAGAGGGTCTCCTCAGGGTGCCATCGGCCAAGTTATGTCGGCTGGCGACACCCAGGGGGAGGGGCTTCTCTCTGGGAGCCCCAGCCCTGTGGAATAAACTGCCCCCGGAAATATGTAAGATCTCCAACCTCCGGGTGTTTCGCTGCGCACTGAAGACCCTGTTATTCCGCCAGGCTGGGCTATCAACATAATAATTTTAAATTGGGGTATTTTAAATTTCTGAGGTTTTAAATTGAGCCAAATCTATTTAATCATTTCAATTTTTAACTGCTGTTTTGTCTTGTGTTTTTAAATAGGCTGTACACCGCCCTGAGTCCTTCGGGAGAAGGGCGGTATAGAAATAAAATTATTATTATTATTATTATTATTATTATTATTATTATTATTATTATTTTATTATTATTATTATTATTATTATTATTATTATTATTATTATTATTGCTACCTTATCACTTCTATTGTCTTCTGGTTGGGATTTTTTTAAATTTTTTAGAAGGGGAGGAGAAATAAACTTTTTAGTTTATTTATTTCTAAAGTAAAGTTTTTAGAAACGTGTACTGGTTCGAGTAACTGCAAAATATAACCAAAAACATTGCATATTAGATAGATCAGTCAAACTAAAATGAATAAATAAGATAGATAAATGAAAAAACTAGAAGAGGAGGCAGGAAGTTCAGAATAAACCTGATCTTTCCTGACTTCCTTTCCAAAGGCCTTTCCCACTTAACCAATACAGAGAAGCTTCCATAACTTTAAATCCTTACCATCTTCAATGCTCTCTCGATATCGATCCCTTGGCTCCAAGGCACGGCTGGGTTTGCTAAACAATCTCCAGCACTTCCTCTCCGAGATACATCTACCCGCTGCCTTCGGAGGTACCGGAACGCTTCCGCTATGACAAGGATCGCATCGTGGGTCAACGCGGATGTATACTAAAAGAGATGTAAAAGAGACAAGTAAGTGGAGTTCATCCTGTAAATGCTCCAGGTCTTTTTTTCCCCTCCCTCCTTAAATAACATTAAGTAATAGAGTTACTGGTGGCGCAGTGATTAGAATGCAATATTGCAGGCTAACTCTGCTCACTGTCAGGAGTTCGAACCTAACTGGCTCAAGGTTAACTCAGCCTTTCATCCTTCTGAGGTCGGTAAAATAAGGGGCAAGATGTCGACACTGTAAACCACTTAGAGAGTGCTGTAAAGGATGGTGAAGTGGTATATAAGTCTAAGTGCTATTGCTATTGCTAACTGCCCATTGCCAGGAGTTCGATCCTGACCGGCACAAAGTTGACACAGCCTTCTACCTTCCAAGGTCAGTAAAATGGGGACCGAGATTGTCAGGGTCAAGATGTTGACACTGTAAACTGCTTTGAGAGTGTGTAAAGCATGGTGAAGTGGTATATAAGTCTAAGTGCTATTGCTATTGCTAACTCTGCCCATTGCCAAGAGTTCAATCCTGACCAGCTCAGCCTTCTATCCTTCCGAGGTCGGTAAAATGAGGACCCAGATTGTTGGAGGCAAGATGCTGACACTGTAAACCGCTTAGAGAGTGCTGTAAAGCATTGTGAAGTAGTATATAAGTTTATTGCTAATATCACAATGCCTGTGTTAGTCGTATAAGGTAGGCCAAACTAAGAAACAAACACCATATAAGTCAGGACAATTTTCATTGGAACAGAATCTTGCAAGTCTAAAGGTGCTTTCTCCTTCTTGGTCTTTGTGTGAACTAGGGAGGGGCATACCCAAGGCATTTCTCAAATAACAGCCCCTCTCACCTATTGATTGCCCTGGTTACAACTCTCCCTTCTGTTCTTCAAGGCCAGTCCCTATGCCCTCTAAAAATAAAGGTAAAGGTTCTCCCGCACATGCATGCTAGTAGTTTCTGGCTCTACAGGGCAGTGCTCATCTCCGTTTCAAAGCCGAAGAGCCAGCGCTGTCTGAAGACATCTCCGTGGTCATGTGGATGGCATGACTCAGCACCAAAGGCGCACAGAATGCTGTTACCTTCCCACCAAAGGTGGTCCCTATTTTTCTACTTGCATTTTTTTACATCCTTTCGAACTGCTAGGTTGGCAGAAACTGGAACAAGTAACGGGAGCTCACCCCATTATGCGGCACTAGGGATTCGAACCGCTGAACTGCCAACCTTCTGATCGACAAGCTCAGCATCTTAGCCACTGAGCCACCGCATCCCTCTATTCCTTCTACAGATGTTTAATTTTAATTTTTTTAATTAAAAAAAATTCAGAAGACACTTAGTGTAGTTTGTGTCTTTTTTCAGCTTTTAGCAAAAGGGTGCAGCTGCTTTAAGAGTCGCAGTAGCTTTAATGAGACAACTTAGTAAAAATATCGAGCTGTTTTAACCCATCCTAGGGAAGGTTTTCTGCTTGCCATCTTGGAGTTGAGAAGTGCTCCTTCTGAATCCTTTTTTAAGTGTGCACAGTAAGAAATTACATAATAATAACCCCTTCACATTCCCAGAGTTGTTAAGTATCATTCTGAAATTATTGCTGGAAAAAAAAGGAAAGACAAGATGGAAAAGAATTGTCGTGTCTTTTCAGCTTCTCATCTCCGCTGCTTCAAAGCAAAGTGACACACAAGTGTGCCAGAAGACAGATTAACCCTTGAGATGGGTAACAATATAAAATTCTATTTCTTTTTTTTAAAAAAAGGATTATTTACAAGAAACCCCAACAGACCACAAGAACAGTTTACAAAAAGCCATGGAATGCAAGAGCTGATGCAGCTTTCAATGTTATCCAAATTTACTCTCGAAAAGGAGGTTATACTTCAGAACCTTTAACATTTCTTTAGATTCCTGGTAGCTCTATCACAATAACATTCAACAAATGAGCCTTGGTAGGATAGTGGTCTAAGGCACCGTGTTATTAAGCTGGTTATTAAGACCAGCTGCCTGCAATTACTGCAGGTTCGAATCTCGCCAAGGCTCAAGGTTGACTCAGCCTTCCATCCTTTCTAAGGTAGGTAAATTGAGGACCCAGTTGTGGGGGCAATAAGCTGACTTTGTATAAATATACAAAAGGATGAAGGCTATTGCTGAGCACATTGTAAGCCGCCCTGAGTCTCCGGAGAAGGGCGGCATATAAATCAAATTAAAAAAAAAATGCAAGATCACACCTGGAATACTGCATCCAGTTTTGGTCACCACCCTATAAAAAAGACATTGAGACTCTAGAAAGAGTGCAGAGAAGAGCAACCAAGATGATTAGGGAACTGTAAGCTAAAACCAGGATGAAATCCAGCAGGTTCTGACAGGTTCTGGAGAACCGGTAGCGGAAATTTTGAGTAGTTCGGAAAACCGGCAAATGCCACCTCTGGCTGGCCCCAGAGTGGGGTGGGAATGGAGATTTGGCAATATCCTTCCCCTAGGAGTAGGGAGGGAATGGGCATTTTGCAGTATCCTTCCCCTGCCATGCTCACCAAGCCACGCCCACAGAACCGGTAGTAAAAAAAAAAATGAATTTCACCACTGGCTAAAACATACGATGAACGGTTGCAGGAACTGGGCATGGCTAGTCTAGTGAAGAGAAGGACCAGGGGAGACAGGATAGCAGTCTTCCAATATTTGAGAGGTGGCCATAGAGAGGAAGGGGGTCAAGCTATTCTCCAAAGCACCCAAAGGCCAGACAAGGAATAATGGATGGAAACTGAACAAGGAGAGATTCAACCTGGAAATAAGGAGACATTTTCTGACAATGAGAGCAATCAACCAATGGAACAGGAGTTGCCTTCGGAAGTTGTGGGAGCTTCATCACTGGAAGCTTTCAGGAAGAGATTCGACTGCCATTTCTCAGAACTGGTGTAGGATCTCCTGCTTGAGCAGAGGGTTGGACTAGATGACCTACAAGGTCCCTTCCAACTCTGGAAGGGACCTGTGAATGTTAACGCAAGCAATAATGTATGACACCATTTTCTCTCTTGGTGGGGCATGGGGATGAATTGGTATAGCATCCTCTTTTTGTTTAAAAAAAAAATGAATTAACCAACCCAGCTTGTCTGATTTTGAAATCCGAACAACTCTGAAGTATACCTCGCTGGGCTACATTTTGTACGAACTGATATACGCCGTTAGCAATAAATCTTTTGGGGTTTTTTTTTAGCCTAAAATATCCTCACAGTATACTTCCACAGTTTTTTTCATGCTGCTCAAAATTACAGTTCTCATCGACTTTATAAATCAGATAAACCTTCCCACTCGTAGGAAGGTAAAAATCTATACATGAGCTTTTTCTTCTTCTTCTTTTTTTTTTTCCCCAAAAAACCCCAATGCATCATATTTACTTCAGATAAAATGATAGGAAGCATTCTGAAATTAGAAATTTGTCTCTTTTGCTCAACAAATGGTATTTTAGGGATCAGCATTCTGTAGCTGCACACTGGAATACTGAATCCAGTTTTGCTCGTCACGATGTAAAAAAGAAATTGAGACTCTAGAAAGAGTACAGAGAAGAGCAACAAAGAGGATTAGGAGACTGGAGGGTAAAACATATGAAGAACGGTTGCAGGAACTGGGTATGTCTAGTTTAATGAAAAGGAGGACTAGGGGAGACATGATAGCAGTGTTCCAATATCTCAGGGGCTGCCCCAAAGAAGAGGGAGTCAAGCTATTCTCCAAAGCCCCTGAGGGCAGGACAAGAAGCAATGGGTGGAAACTCATCAAGGAGAGAAGCAATCTAGAACTAAGGAGAAATTTCCTGACAGTGAGAACAATTAATCAGTGGAACAACTTGCCTCCAAAAGTTGTGGATGCTCCAACATTAAGAACAGACTGGACAACAATTTGTCTGAAAGAGCATAGAGTTTCTGCCTGAACAGGGGGTTGGACTAGAAGATCTCCAAGATCCCTTCCAACTCTTGTTATTCTGTTAAATGAAACCAATCCTTAATTTTCAAGGTAGTCCTTGACGTACAACAGGTCCCTTAGGAATCGTTTGAAGTTACAAGGGACCTTCCAAAATTTACAATCTGGTTCCAAAGTTCTGATAGTGAGGCACATGCCCATGCGTGCGTGCATGCTCGCACTCACACACACGGTTATATGACCACATTTCAGGCACTTGGCACTCAGCCCACTTTTTAAGAACTTTTTTGGTCTGAAAAGATGCTGGCAGATCAGGGGTGGATTCTAAAAATTTTTACTACCGGTTCTGTGGGCATGGCTTATTTTGTGGGTGTGGCTTGTTGGGGGGGGGCGTGACCAACTTTTTTTTTTAACTTTTAAAAGCTTTTTTTCTACAACCTTAAGAGGTTGCAGAAAAAAAAAATGCTTTTAAAAGCCTCTGACGATCAGGCAACTCAGCTGGGATTGCCAGAGGCTTTTAAAGGCATTTTTTTTTCTTACAACCTCTTCGGGTTAAGAGGTTGTAGAAAAAATGCTTTTAGAAGCCTCTGACAATCCCAGCTGAGCTGCATGATCATCAGAGGCTTTTTTTTTTTTTTTACTTTTAAAAGCATTTTTTCGGCCGAAAAAACAAACAAACAATGCTTCTGATGAGGTGGGCAGGGTAAGCGAGCAGCGACCAGGCCAGGGACCGGTTCGGGGGCATGACCAGCCAATGTTATTACCGGTTTTCCAAACTACTACAAATTTTTACTACTGGTTCTTGCAAACCGGTGCAAACTGGGAGTAACCCACCACTGTGGAAGATGCCTTCTGCTGTTGAGCACACAAATCTTCTTTACAGTCCAGCCTTCAGATTGAGCTACAGATTGTCTGCTTAACCCAGAGATATTTTCCTTCCCCAATTTGCTTCATAACTTCCTATGCCTATATATATATATACCGTGTTTCCCCAAAAATAAGACCCTGTCTTAGTTTTTTTTGAACCCCGAAATAAGCATTTTTGCCTTATTTTCGGGGAGGTTTTATTATTTTGGGAGGCATGGAGCAAGATGGGGCTCCTTTTGCTGTCTTACTTGATTTCCAGCTCTGCGTTTAAATATTTTCGGGGAGGGCTTATTTTCGGGGGGTGAGGCTTGTTTTAGTGCATGCGTTCAAAAGCCCGATTGGGCTTATTATCAGGGGATGTCTTATTTTTGGGAAAACAGGGTGTTTGGTTTTAAACCAAAGTCGTTTCCTTGTTTTCAAAACCTGAAGATCATCACCTGTCAGAGAGTTCGCCGTAACATGCACCGAAGTTGAAACGTGTTGCTGGCTATTCTTGCACAAAGAAGTTCAATTGTTTGTTCTCCGATAGCTGTCCAATTAAGCATTATATCAACCTGCAATTGTCTTTCTGCAACTGGCCACCCCCCTCCCCAATTTTCCAATCAGGCTGCCTCAATTATCAGAAAAGCGTCCTGCCATCCCTTCCACATCACACCGAGCGACAAATCTAATTTTCTATTTTATTCGTATGCTGCTAACAAATCCACGAACATGTGAAGCCGTTGTGGGAACGAGAGAGTTGATGAAATATGGAATAAATTAAAACACCCAGGCTCTCATCTCTAGCCAATTTTATTTCCTAATCAAATTTACTCTTTTTTTTTGTTGTTGCTCTGAAGGGTGGGCTTGTCACTTTAATAAACACTTGTTCGTGTATTACAAATCCAAAGTGTTTCCCAACGTAAATAGTACAGTCCTCGATTCATGGCTACAATTCAGCCCAAAACTTCTGGTTGCTTAGTCGAGAAATTTGTCCAGTGAATTTTGTCCCATGTTATGACCTTTCTTGCCACCGTTGTTAAGTGAATCACTCTGGTTATTAAGTTAGCCACAAGTGAATCTGGCTTCCCCACTGACTGTTGCTTTTTCAGAAGGTCGCAAAAGGGCATCACAATGACCCTGGGACACTACAACTGTCATAAATACAGTAGTGGCCAAAATTGTGGAAACCTTTTGGGAAAAGTGTCTTTTTGAGGTTTGATGGCTAATAACGCCACTTTTTTTGGGGGGGGAGTTTCAAGAGAATCCTATTCCACTGCTGGAATGGCCTGGGAATAGCCCAGACCTTAACCCAATGGAAAATCTATGGAGCCAACTAAGAAACTGGTTAGTCAGAAACGACCCAGAAATAAAACCCAGTTAATAGAAGCCATCATTCAGTCTTGGTTTCACATGATAACAGTTGCAGAACTAAAAGACTTGGTTCACTCCATGGGAAGACGTTGTAAAGGCCATCATTCATGCTAAAGTTTACCCAACTAAGTATTAACTGACATGGTGGTAATTTTTGTATATCTTGTTTTTTCTATGGTGATCATTTTTGTATATCTCATTTTTTCTACGTGTTTCACTTTTTTTCTTTCTACTGTAACTGCTATTCTAATAGCAAATCCTTCATAAAAGTTATTGCATTACAGTCTTGATTAAATTATCTTTCCATTGATATATAACTTTATGGTACTACTCCATTAAAAAAAAAGTGGTGTTATTACCTAGTTTTAGAAAATACAACTTTCCCAAAAACTGACTGTATGAGTCAGTTGCCAAACATTTTAATTTCGATCACATGAACATGGGGATGCTGCAATGGTCATAAGTGTGAAAAACCTTCATAAGTCACTTTTTTCAGTAACTTTGAATGGACATTAACTGAACTGTTGTAAGTTGAGGACTGCCTGTATTTAAAGAGGAAGACTTTCCCCAGCATTTATATGCGGTACCATCTTTTTCTTCCTTTTCTCTCCTTTTTGGTGGCTATTTTTGTTCAGGGGTTGGTGATTGACTGCTGTCATTTATCATCTCTGCCGTTTATTAGTTCCTGTTGGTTTTACACGAACTGGTGGAAGGTTTTTAAATTGTTCTTTTTATTTTCTGAGTAAGCCGCTGGGAGTCATTTTCATTATGACGGGGCAAAGATATATTTAATAAGTCAATAAGGAAAGACAAAAGCTCTTTCCTAAATTAGCTCTAGTTAACGAGGATTAAGATAGGATTTGGAGCTCTTCTTTATGACAATGTGCAATCAACCTTGGTTCGTTATCAGCTCCGGCCCTACTTTCTTGCACCTTCTGTAACTTCTTACAGTGTTGGATTGAGACCCAAAAGCACCAGGCTGAAGTCCACCTTGAGCCAGAGAAGCTCATGGGTGACTTAAGCCAGTCCAGGGGTCGGCAACCTTAAACACTCAAAGAGCCACAAAGTTCCTAACTGGAAACCCCCGTTCAATTCTGGAGCTGACCAGAAGTCCAGTTCCCCCATCATCGTCTCCTCCTAGCATGGCGTCCTTTTTCCTCTACCTGTCCTAACTGAAAGCCCTTGTTCTGTCCCCATCTCACACATGCACACAAACAGACAGCCGGGGGTTAAATAAACTGGCAGACAACCAATTCTTCTGATAAGACGCTTGGCAGCAACCCAGTAGCTGCTTGCCAAGAACTTTACTCAATAAACAAAATACCCACAGTCAAGAATTGTCCAGTTCGTAAAATAAATCCAAGGCCGATAATGTTGTTTCCAAAGATGCGATGTGACTCGATAGCAGTTAGTTTTGTCCATCACAGAGTCTGAATGGCCACCTCACCCCCTTTTATACCCTGTGGGGTGTGGTCCAGTGACTCAGCCTAATCTCTGGCACGCCTTTTCTTCTGTTGAGCGCGCTTATCTCTGCGACACTGCCGAGGATCCAGCCAAGACTCATTACCCTCATCACTGTCCACCTGTGGCTGCGTGGACATGCTTGGCCCTGGCCCTATCTCTTGCCCTTCGGCGGACACCAAAGGCATTGCCAGAGAGGAGGGTCCTGGAGAGGGAGGCCTTGCCAACTCCTCTCCTTCACTCTCGGAGTCCTCTCCTGCCGATGACACAGGCTCAGGTAATGGAGCCACAACAGCCCTATCAATTGTGCAGCCGACCCACAACAGGGAGCCACAGCAGAGGGATGAAAGAGCCACATGCGGCTCCAGAGCCCCAGGTTGCTGACTCCTGAGCCAGTCACTCAATCTCAGCCCAACCAACTTCGTAACGTTGTTTGTTATGGGGGAGAAAGAAGTAGAGGGTTACGTGTGTTCTAGTCTTGAACTCCCGAATAAAGGCAGGAGACAAACCGAATCAAGAAAGAAGATGTAGAATATTATCAAACATGGAATCTATTTTACCAATGCTTGGGGGAAAAGGAGTGGAGATTAAGAATGTCAATTTGTATTGTTAAGCAAATTAAATACCCAGATAACACAATGTTTATTAAGCACTAAGAAATGTATTTAATAGAAAATTAATGAAAAAAAATAAAAGAAATAAGCGAGGAAACGGAGAGTTCTGTCCACAGACAAAAAAACACAGCACTACACAAAGCGCACCATCCCCAGTTAAGCAGCTGATAAAATGTAAGAATTGCTCACTCGGTCTGGTCTAATGCATGTTGGATTTTACGCATCATTGCTTTTTCAGGTTACCGTTGTTATGAAGCTGCCTGCTGGCATCCCAGCTTGACAGATGTGGCCAGAGGGAAGATGTCATGCTGTTCTTCTTTATCGAGAAGAATAATTTGGATTTCTCTCATCCATTTGGCCTCCCTGACACTTGTGTTATTTTGTTTTGTCAAAACAAAGGTCAAACATCCATGTCTATGGAGATTCTCAGTCATCCATGGTTGGCCCAAAGGTGCATTTTTTCCAAAGGCAACTGGACAAGCTTTCTTTTCCTTAAAGATGTTTCGCTTGTCATCCCAGAAGCTTCTTCGGTTCTGAACTGAGGAAGCTTTTTGAATGAGAAGTGAAATGTTTTCAAGGAAAAACAAAGGAAGTCCAGTTGCCTTTTTCCATGGATGGATGGATGGATGGATGGATGGATGGATGGATGGATGGATAGATAGATGGAAGGAGGGAGGGAGGGAGGGATTTATACCATATCTTCCTATGTTAGTGAACATATCAGCTCCCCAACTTCGTAAAGCAGTTAAAAATCAATCCACAGTTGTCTTCCTTTCTGTTGCTTTGGAAGAGAATTCCCAAACAAAGCTATCAGTCCATCAACTCCACCCTATTTTCTTCCAGCTGACCCACGAAGAATGCACCTTACAAGCTATCACTGGAGTAACTCATAGAATAGCAAAAAAAACCCTGCTCCATCAGTTCTTCCCCCTTCCTGCCCATGGCAACTCAAGAGCAGACCAGAAATGCTTTGCGAGTTGACAGTCTGATTCACTACATCACAATAGGTTTTGATTGACTCAAGTCATTGCAGTTGGTAAACCAAAGTTTAAGACTTATCAGAGGATATAGAACTAGAGAGGAGGAGTCTTGTCTTCAACTAGAACTAGATTAGTTGTTCAAAGCAAATAACAGTTTATCGCTCAACCCACAGCATCCATAGGTGAGCTAACATCAAAGAAGACTCAACAAATCTATGCTTTCTGTAAATGGCGGTCCTTTCTTTTCCTACCTCTACCCCACCTCCTTTCCAATAGTCTGCAAACTTACCTTTAATGGAGAATTTTTAGCTTCAGGAAATTCCCTTTCATCAAGTCTCACCCAACGCTGCATAAATTGTTGGACCAATGGGTTGTCATTATTAATAATCTGAAATCCGGTTATGTTGGCCCCAGCCTGGACCACTCTCTCCACTGAGATGTCTGTAAAACCCTTGAAAGAGAACGGAAACATTTGAGAGGTTGATGTCAGCTTAGAAGCAGTCAAACACACAGTCCCTGACCTTGGGAAAAAAACCCACAGGTTTAAATGGGCCGTTCGTTTGCTGAGTCCAGTTGGTGGGTTCCCATTCTGATAAAACCATGTGGTAAGGAGGCATTTTGCTTTTGAAATGTGGTGTTGGAGAGAAGAATCTTGAGAGTCTCTTGGACTGAAAAGATATCCAATCAGTCGATCCTAAAGAAAATCAACCTTTGGAACAAGGGTGGGATTCTACCGGATTGGAACAGTTCGGGCGAACCGATAGCACCGACGATCAGCTGGGAGTGAACCAGTTTGCTCTGACTATCAGGTCGGCCTGCCCACCCACCCCTGTGCTTTACTTACCTTTATTTTCTCAGCTGATTGGCGCGGCAGAGCAGATTGCCGTTCCTCAGCTGTGTTAGTAGACACAGTGACATTTTTTGCTATCCCCAGCCTCCAGAGACTCCTAGAGGGTGGGGAAGGCTGTTTTCGCCCTCCCCAGATGCATAGAAAGAATCTGGCATGGGGCAGGGTGTATAGAGTTATGGGTGTGGGCACGCACATGCACGAACCTCCCCTGCCTTCCTCCTGGTACGCGATGGCAAAAAGGTTAGCCATCACTGACCTAAATTCTCAAACTGCACAGACCCACAAAGTTTGTTAGGGTTTGGCACACACACACATAACAAGAAAGGCCTCTGAAAGTGTACTTAAATGTATCAGAATGCAAATTACATTAAAAAAAAAAAGACATCAGTTGCAAGCTTTTAAATAAGTGGCCCATTATTATCACTTCTCTTCACAATCAGCTTTAGGTCTATGGCCAAAATTGGAGATGTGAGTTGTTTAAATAGGCAATTTGACTAGATGGAATTACGGATTAACTCTGACTTTTTATCACAAAAGTATAAAGTAACTAAGCTTTGGGCTGTATTTCCCAAGAGTCAGTTTTGTATTATGAAAAAGAGATTTGGATTATCAAACGGTATGATTAGAGAGCAAATACAAACGATACAGTTTGGTTTCAATGATTAAAATAAGAAAAGCCCCTTTCAATGTATTTACTAAGTATTTTGGAAATTGGTGCATGGCCTGGTTTAGAAGCCATGAACTGAAAAATCGTTTCTCACCGTGTACTTTGGATACATTCTAGTGGGAACTTCAGAATCTCTGTTTAAATGTTAGAGCTGCTTGTCATGTGTTAAATCTTCACATCTTCCTCTTTGGATTTAATTTTCAATGCTGGTTAGTAAAGCCCCAAATAACTCAGTTTTTTTTTTTAAAGGGCCAATTCTTATCTTATCACCTTTCTCTGGTGAACAACAGAGGTCCTGAACACTCCAGGTTGACCTTATTCAGTTTCTCATTCTATCACTTCTTGGGTTATGTTTTGTTTTTATTAGGATAGGATAGGATAGGATAGGATAGGATAGGATAGGATAGGATAGGATAGGATAGGATAGGATAGGATAGGATAGGATAG